GGGGGGGGATTGGGGGACATCTATAATACTGTCAAAAATAAAATAATAAAATAAAATAAGATAGAATGACTAAAAGGAAAGTGGTAACACAATGAGAGGAGAGAAAGACAAAGCATTTTTGCCAGGAACTGGGAGTCTGAGGAAAAATGTGTCAAGAAAAAAATGAGTGATTTAAATTTCTGTTTCAGTCTCTTAAACCAGACAGGAAAAGTGCAAGATAATATCATATGATAAATTTTTAAGATGGCAGTTTTCTTGAGTTATGTCTAATAACTTATGGATTATTCTTGGGGAAAGCTGTGTTTTGAGAGAATAATAATAGAATTATTAATCACATACAGATTTATTATTTTTATATTTTCTAATACTCTCAGTTGTCAGCTCCCCCTAGAATAAGGACCTCTTTTAATAGAAAATACCACAATTTCTGAACTGAGTTCTGTACAGAATATATGCATAACTAATGTTGACTTGCTTTATAATGATTCTGCTATTTGTAATTATACTTTTTTGCTGACTTAGTGTATAAATGTAGAGCGCAGTAGAGAGCCTGATAATTTTCTTTGGGCATTAGCAAGGTATTTTCGTTTTATCTTCTTCAGATAAACCCTATAACAAACCAGTTTGATAATACAGGTTTGAATAGTTGTACAATGATATGAACTAAAAAAATAAGGAACCCCATGTGAAATGCATTTAATATTTAAAGAATCAATTCCAGCAGCTCAATTACCCACCTGCTCTCATTAATTGGAATATTTAATCAGCTATGATTGCTTATGATAAATACCTTGCAAGTAGCATTGCTGTTGATTTGCCACATGACTGTCAAAAATCCTTTGGCTAACACCATTTTTTCCCAAAAGGCTTAAATTATTTTAATATATTTCTATGAAAGGAAAAAATAAGGTAAAATGGTAAAAAACTGAATCTGGAGTTTCTCTGCACTATCATTTATATTGGAGGTTTTCAGGGGATATAGAAAATGTTCACCAACACAGCTTGGAAATAAAAAGCATGGGCGGCTGACTAATTCTGGCACCTTTCAGATAGGGAGGGACTGGGTGCCCCTCTACCCTGGCATGAAATGCACTCAGGAGGAAGTGGATCTGAACTTGCTGCGATACGCACACACCGGGGCACTGGATTCCCAAAACCGAGACAACTTCACCTTCTACCTCTGGGATGGCGACAACAGGTCACCTGCCTTTGACTGTCAGATCACCATCAACGATATGGGAAAAGGTAAAAGCATTTCTACCAAGGTTGACTGGGATCAACTTTTATAACCGGAAATGAGCTGGTGCCAGCACTCCAAGGTTTTTTCTTGTCTCTCTCCGTCCTTCTCTCCCTCCCTCTCTCCCTTTTTTTCTTCCCTTCTTTCTTTTCTTTTCCTTCCAGTCTTTACACCCGAAATTCCATCATTGATGATTCAATCCTTTGGCTGCTCACATACTTTGCCTGGAATCTGAGGTTCATGAGAATGGCCAATATATTTGTTACTTTTAGTTTTTCCAAAAGCCTATTGGAAATCCAGGCTTATCTAGAGCATGGCTGCATACACTACTTTAACTGTCAGGGTGTTTTGCTTTAAGTAAAAATTTGCCAAATCAGTGTGTTTTATCTTCAGAAAATGAGTTATTACTTGAAAATGGAGTTTCAAAGGAAGGCAGAGATGAGCAAGGGGGAGTGTAAGCCGTGAAGCCCAGTGCCACTACCCCATACTGGAGGATAAGGGTCATATTTCAGTCATGTATGTAGTCCAGGGTCTGTATATTCCCAGGACCAAGCATAGTCTTAGATCCTCATTACATGCTTGATTGGCTGAATGCTTTCTTTTTTTGCCTTGGCTGCCAGGAACCTCAGAGCTAAATAGGATGCTTAAGTGTAGAAAAAAATCTTCCTTCATGTGCATGGTGAAATTACAGTTGTCTTGAATCTTTTGAAACAAATTTTAAGTCAGTTTGGTTGATTTTGAGATGTTTATTTTGAGCTATATAATAATATGTTTTATTTATTTGTTTCTTGGTTATAAAAATGTATTCTGTTAAGATGTCTAATAAGTGACTCTCAGATAAGCTAGATGTTTCTCTCTGCAAAAGTAAGACTTGTTCATCATAAGTATATGTCCAGGCAAAATGTAATACAAGTAATATATCAGGGCAGACAACTAATTAATGTGTTAGGATGGACTGTCTTCTCATCGCCTTAGCACAGTGCATTCCTGGGGAGTGCGGTCGGGTAGAGGAGGTTCTGTTCCACACAACCATCTGGGGGTTCTTTCTAGCTGGAGGATCCTTCATCTCCAAAGGCCTTCAAGTCACTCCAAAAGTGAGATATGGAGGAAAATGAGAACATTTCATAGTTGAGGCTTGGAGGTAGGGTCCTGTCTTCTACACATCCCAGTGGTCAAATTGCAATTACTTCCTATGTTAAGGGAGGCTAAGCAATAGAATCTCTAGCTGTGTGTCCAGGAAGAAAAGGAAAGGAGGCTGCCAAGTGCCTCACCAGTCTGCCTCAACTGGCATGTTATTATTTTCTAAAAGGACTTGTAAATACATTAACCTATTAATGTTGTCAGAGGTTCCGAATTTATGTTTTGTTTCTTTTTACATTGTGATGTTTTATATCTGTAGAGTATATCTTTTTTTTTTTTCAACTTATGAATTTTCTCAAGTGACAGCATAACTTTAAAACCATGATTGTGCATCTCTAAATAAAACTACACTGAATTGTTCGACTAAATCATACCCCTAATATTGAGCTTTTGGGTTAATCCCATTTGGGAGCTATTATTAATAACACGAGGCCCTGCAGGTGCTCTGTATTTTCTGATTTGCACAGTGGCTGAGATGATGTGGGGATCTTTGAGAGAGGCTTGGAAGGACATCATCTGTAGTTGACTCTGCTCTGAACTCCGTCATTACAGTTCCTATTCTGTGCATTGAGGCAAAGCGCAGGTCCTCTTCCTCCCTTCAGATCATCTTCTGTTCTTGATGAAACTGCTTGTGGGTGGTTTTTGTTTCCCACCTTTGTTCATTCCTCTGGCTGCTTTGATGTGTTCAGCTTGACTCCCCTGAAGTGTGTAGGGCTCAGGTTTTGATTTAAAGTTAGGATGGTCATTGATACTGCATTACTCTAGTTGCACAGCATTTTCTTCAAAGCAGAGTATACCAAAAAGACCAATTTGATAATCTGAAACAGGTTTTCCCAATGTTGGCCCTATTGGCATTTGGGGATGAATAATTCTTTATTGTAATGGACTTTCTTGTGTATTGTAGGACGTTCAGCAACATCTCCGGCCTCTACAAACTAGAAGCCGATAGCAACTCCCAGTTGTGATAAGCAAAAGTGCCTGCAGACATTGCCAAATGTCCCCTGGGGGGCAGAATCACCCCTCATGAGAAGCACTGGGCTAAAGTTATATCTGCTCGCTGTTTTATTTTCACTTTTTAGTTCCTCATGGGACCGAATATCTTTTCAAAATTTTATTGACCATTTGTATTTTTAAATTTAGAATTGGTTTGGAATTTACTTCACTCACATTTCCTTTTGGATATGCACCCATTTAGTGTTTAAGTATAATAAATCCCTATATATTAAAAAGAGAAAACAAAATAATACAGTGTTTAAGTTTGTGCTCTTGAGTCAGATGACTTGAGTACAGATTCTAGCTCCACCTTTTATTAATTGTATAATCATTAAGAAGTTAGTTAGCATTTCTACGCCTTAGTATCCTCATTTATAACCTGGGAAATACGATAATACTCTACCTTGCAATGTTGGTGTGAAGATGTAAGAACCCTGAGGCCTGAGCCTGGCACAAAGCAGAAGCTCTATCTGTTAGGTATGACCATTATTTTTAATGAGCAGAATTGGATTATAATCCTTAATTTGCGAAACACTGCATCATTAGTCTATGTGCGACCCACTCTGCTTCACTCACTCATACATTTAAAGATATATATATTTCCTGCCTGTGTGGCTCAGCTGTGGAGCATTGACCTAGGGTCCAGGAGATCGAGGTTCAATTCCCGGTCAGGGCACATGCCCGGGTTGCGAGCTCGATCCCCAGCAGGGGATGTGCAGGAGGCAGCCGATANATGCCCGGGTTGCGGGCTCGATCCCCAGCAGGGAGCGTGCAGGAGGCAGCTGACCAGTGACTCTCTCACCATTGATGTTTCTATCTCTCTCTCTTCCTCTCCCTTCCTCTCTCTGAAATGAATAAAAATATATTAAAAAAGTAAAATGTATAATAAACACCGTGCAACCACTGTACAATTCAAGGACTGAAGTATGAACAGTAACCAACATCTACCTCTGTTCTCTTCCCATCCTCTGCCCTGAATTTTGTGTTAATTTTTTTCTTGCTTTTGCTTATAGTTTTCTGGGACTTACAAAACTAACAAACATTAGTAAGCTACATCTGTGTGGCTGCAGGTAGCTGTAGTTCATCCATTTTGCTATTGTGTAAGATTCAGTTATATGAATGGGTCACGGTTTGTTTATATATTCACTTTCCAAAAAGGCATTTGGGTTGTCGCCAGTGTTTTCAATTACGAACAGTGCCGCGGTGACCTTCCCGGGATGTGTCTCCTGGGTGCAAGTGCACGGGTTTCTCTCCAGTACACAGCTGGAGTGGCGTCTCTGGGTCAAGGTGTACGTGATATTCAACTCTTTACAAAATGATGCCAAATCACGTGCCAATGTTTTCTTCTACCAGAATCACATGAGTCTCTCGATCTACATCATCTTCAGCACTTGGCATCATCAGACGTCTGCATTTTTGCTAATCAGAGGCTTACAAGATGGCAACTTTTTGTGATGTTGATTTGTATTTCTATGATTATTGAGATTGAGCATCTATTTGTATTTTTATCGGCCATATGTGTTTCCTCTTCTGTGTAATATCTTCTCATAGCTTTTGCCTAATCCTTTCATTAATCATAGTTACATAAACCTTCTACATCATGTTAGTTTTGATTTCTGCACAGATTGGCCTTTGGTTTTTTTTTTTCACCTTGGACANTATTGAGATTGAGCATCTATTTGTATTTTTATCGGCCATATGTGTTTCCTCTTCTGTGTAATATCTTCTCATAGCTTTTGCCTAATCCTTTCATTAATCATAGTTACATAAACCTTCTACATCATGTTAGTTTTGATTTCTGCACAGATTGGCCTTTGGTTTTGTTTTTTTAAATTGGGTTCTTGACCTCTTCTGCCACGTAGGTGATATTGTCATCCTTGCAAAACCACTTGTGGTGCCTCAAGGTGACAGAGGTTTCGTGACGACCACCACTCTCCTTGCTATGGACGGAACAGACAAGCCTGAGGAGCTGCTCTATGTCATCACCTCCCCCCCGCGATACGGCCAGGTGGAGTACGTCCGCTACCCCGGAGTCCCCATCACAAGTTTCAGCCAAATGGACATAGCAGGACAGACAGTCTGCTACGTACATAAGAGGAAGGCACCTGTCCCCAGTGACACATTCAGGTGAGCCCCTAGGAAATGCTTCAGAACCCCTTCCCTGAATTAATGCTTAGAAAGACAAAAGGAGGGGGAAATGAGCCCTTTTCCAGCTCTGGTATAGCTGTGTTCTTCTACTACCTAGCTGGGTAAAGGTGAAAGTGCACAATTAAAATGACAGCAACAAGGCAAGAAATGATGGCTTGTTTAAAAATAAACACATAAGCATATTTAAGAGCAAGCTGTTCTATGAGAAGGAATGGGAAGACCTGAGGATGCCATCTAAAGGGAGACATAGAAAAGGAATTTACCACTGTTTTAAGGATGTGTGCCTATACGAGGGAAAGGTATTTACTAGTAAACATTTGGCACAAGCAGATACTGCCTGTGACATAATGTGTTTGGGTAACCATATCATAAATCATGTTGTCATATAGTGGGTCTTATTTCCCCATAGAAACAACGTTGTGATTGGGGGCTGTGCACCTGTTCAAGGATTGTGTATCAAATAAATCATTGAAATGAACAACAATCTGGTGAAAAGGCAAGGATACCACATTAACGAGTCTACATTCATTTAAAATACTGAAACCTGTTTCCAGGCACATAAAGCAGGAGAAACTCTAGAGGGTCTATCATCTAGCAGTTCTCAAAGCTGGCAAAGTCCAGGTCCTCGATAGAAACACAGGTCTTCAGGGCTAGGATAAAAACCAAGAAATCCTAGACTAGCCTTTGGGTGAACCATGGTACATATCCAACCCTGAGTTTTACCCATTAAGGAGGCCCTGAGAGCATTGGTTCATCTGTCATACCCTCAGGGATGCTGAATAATTTTCACCGTGTCAGAGTACGACCTTCACAAGAGTGCTAGAAAATAACATAAATGCAGCCTACTCCCATATTAGTCAGTGGTTCCCCATAAATAGTAAAGTGTACCAACACACTCGTGTTCAGATATCATGCTCAATCCTGCATTTTTATCCATCTAAATTCAATATGTCACTATGATAAACACTGTTTAAATGTCAGTCAAGATGATTTTGGTTGCTTTTTTAGCATTTAGAATTATGATTTGGATAGCTGAACTGTTAAAAAATTCAGGGAAGTTTGAACTAGTACCCTTTTTTCCCTCTTGACAAAAAGCAGATAATCATTTGATAACTATTTGATTAATCAGTATCTTCATAACCAATTCAGTGCTTGAATGTTGCTAGTCATCAACTAAATAAAACATGAGATGTGGGGAGTCCTTTCACACTGCTGCTTTTGCTCCAGAAGTGGTGTAATTGTTGAGGCGCACGCTTGGGTCAAGCACTGCCTCCGTTACTCCTTCCCCCCCTTGCCCTCGCTGCCGCCGCGGGCCCTCGAGGGTCAAGCCACACTTCCCTGTGCCCCCGTTTCCTCTTCTGTGAACACGAATGATGCTCATAGTACCTGTGTCCAGGGTTGTTGGGAGGTTTAAATGAGCTGATATATGAAGTAATTAAACAATATGTGGCATGTAAGAAGAACAAAATATTAGCTGCTATTATTACTACTATTGNTCGAGGGTCAAGCCACACTTCCCTGTGCCCCCGTTTCCTCTTCTGTGAACACGAATGATGCTCATAGTACCTGTGTCCAGGGTTGTTGGGAGGTTTAAATGAGCTGATATATGAAGTAATTAAATAATATGTGGCATGTAAGAAGAACAAAATAAGTATTAGCTGCTATTACTACTATTGTTTTATCATTTTTTATTATATTCTTTCCTTGGCCCCCTTTTTCCCTCTGATCTTTACAATACCAAGCATAACCTTAAGGGAGGAAAGAAGTTACAATGGAGATTGTTCTTTTTTCCCCATTAACTACTGGACAGTGGTTGCTTCTTTGTTCAATCCATGTATATCAGATTCAGGGCTTTTAATTTTATGCTTGTTTCTAGAATTTTTTGCTTTCATTTGTTCCCACTCCCCCCTGGTCGGTGCCTACCACACAGTCTCCTGAAGACATTAATAACTTTATTGGAGAAACCAGTGACCCTGCTGAAGAATCCAGTGGATAAATGTGTAAAGATGTTGACAAAGGCATGTTAGGTATTAATTAGATGGTGGTGATGAACTAAGAATGAAAAACAAAATTTCCACATTTGGTGATACTGTAAAACTTTCCTAAATCACAGCTATAGAAAGTCTTACAAAAGGGCACTTTAGAAATCATTTACCCCAGAAATCTCTAAATTTCTATATCCTCAAGAGAGTTACCTGGGAGATTTATAAAAATACAAATTCTCGGGCCTCCCTGCAGAGAGGTGACTTTGGTAAGTCCTGACTAAGAAACCCGTATTTTTACAAGCTCTCCAGGTTTGTCTGCTGGAGTCAGGACCAGCAATCACTGCCCTGGCCCAGTCCATTGTTCTAAGTACACGCGGAGGGGTTTTGAGGACATACAGAAAGCCCTCTCCGGGTCTCCCAGAGACAGAAAATGAAGGGGCTGAATTGGTGGGGCCCTGGGCCCTCACCCCAACTTACTAATAGAGCTTTGTTTTGTTCTCTGTTTTGATAGTTTGGTTTTTTGTTTGTTTTGCACACTGGACTTTCTCTGAGCGGTTTCCTTTTAGCAGAAAGGCTGTGGTTCTGTTGCCCAAGTGCGTGATTTGTACCACCTGTAATATAAAGGTGCAGAATGAGGCAGGCTGGCCCCGGAAGAAGGAAAGGGAGAGTGAGAAACCCCCTACTACTCCCTTTTAGTTTGCTCCATGCTTCGGATTGTTTCTAGAAGGAAGTCTCAGGCCTGTGCTGATACGTCCTGGGCAGCTTTTCAATATTTACTGTTTTCCCTTTTTAACAGACAGAGTACAAGCCTCAGGCTCCGGGCCATTGGGCAACAATATCTAGCTAGAATAAAAAACATTATTTTCTTATATGTATGTTTGTAGTATTTATGGTGATTCCATTTTTAGTAGTTAAAAGGTTTCCTTGTAAGTGCCTTTATTTAAGTAAAAAAGTGAGATGATATGAAGCAGTATTAAGTAATAAGAGTTCAGGTAGTACAAGAAAATGGCAAAAATTAGGACTAATCTTGAAGATTAGTCAACAGGCCTGTAGGGAGAAAATAAACAACAAAGGGTGAAAGCATTGATTCAGTCCAGTCTTTTCATTTACACATAGGAAAGATAATACTGCTTGGCCACCTGCAATGCATCAGGCGGTGCACTAGACACTTTTTTGTACATCATTTCCTTACACCTCCACCTTGAGAGAGATGGTTCGTTCCCATTTTATGCATGAGAAAACTGAGGGCCCAACGGGCAAAGAAAGTCACCTAGACTGAAAAAAACCTGAGAATCAGAGCTGAACTGGGGCTGAGACCTCATTTTGGAGAGTTCTTTCCATGATACCTCATTGTACCAATAATTTGTGGAGAATCTGCGCTTGTGCGAAGGAACCTCCTCAACGTGCGGTTCTGATGCGCGGCAGCACTTTTGCACATTGAGAACGAAGAGCCCAGCATCTGCCCGGACCCGCGTCTGGATCCTGTCGTCCTCCTGACCCAATCGCGGCGGCTGTGTTGTTTGTCAAGTGGCGCCGAACCGAAGCCGAAAGCCCGTTTTAATGAAAGTGTGATCATGGTACTTTTTAAAAATTAAATATATGCAACCAATCTAATCACCTAAATTTATGTTGCTCGCTGTTAAATCTGGCAAGAAATTTGGCTGCGTAGGGGCGATAAATTCTGTGGCAGAGGATTCCCCCCCATCTCTTTTTAATGTAAGGTATGGCAGCATTAATTAAACGGGGAGAGGGGGGCGTTTAATGATCAGATTTTCCCTTCTGCAGAAATATTTTGCGAATCATAAATTTCTCCAGCATTGTTTGGTGCTGCTGGCCTGGAAGAAAGATTTGGCAGCACTTTCGAGGACAGATGACACCAAGTGATTAGCAAGCTGACTTCAGCTGCTGGCAGCCGTGCACGAAAAGAACATGCTAATGTCCTCCATTTTGACATGCCGGCTGGACTTTTTTTTTTTTTCCCCTGAGGAACTGGCTCTGTTTATGATTCCATTTTTATCCTTTAAATGCCATGACAGATGGCAGATTCTTCAGCCAACTCTATTGCCAGGAAATGCAGAAAGCTTGAAAGCACCATGGTAATGGTGAAATCAGACCAGGCAGGCACCCAGGCAAATCGGAGAGTCATTCCCCAAATTTCATGAGAACAATGGTCATCTTGGCTGCTTCTCAGGGAAGCACAATAAAGGGAATGAAACAAAATAGACCCCCAGAAGGAGCCGCTACCCCGATACCAGCTTCTGAGCCTGGGGGTGGGTGCCGTCGTGGCCACGGCGTTGCTGCTTGAAAACTTGAGAATATATTTGGAGGGTTTCTTTCGGGGGCGGGAGGGAATGTTGTGGAAGATCGTCTGGTTACCCTTTGCAGACATGAACGGCACTGACCTTGCTGCTCTCGAAGGTTCTGCTGGGCTTGCTTTGCCTGGGAAGCCAACCATGACTGTTGACCCTGTCTCTCCCCGGGACAGTGTTTCTCTGCCCGTGAGTAGTTCGCATTGTCACTTGGGAGAGTGAATGATGAGCTTGCCCCCGTGGCGTTTAGAAACGGCACCCTTTTCACCGCGGGCTTACTAGCTGTAGGTCAGCGCAGACAGCTGCCTCGGTGCCCCAGCTGGGAACGCTGGCCTCGGTACACGCACTCCCTTCTCCTCCGTGGCCCCGGCCCTGCTTGCCCTCACTGCCATCTGTCTGGTGTCAGGCGGCCGCTTTCCAGCGCCGTCAGATCCCCATCATCAGGCCGAGAGGAGTCTGAGGCCTGACCATAGACGGCTTCATTGCCCTCACAGCCGCACACTCCTAGGTCAACGCAGCCCTCCCAGGACAGAGCTGCGGGGCCTGGCCAGGCCTTGTTGGAATTCAGTCTCTAGGGAGGAGAGTCAGGGTCGGCCTCACAGTGGCCCCGGGCGAGCCCCCCCGCAGGGCCCCGAGCTCCTGCCTAACCTCCTGGCTCCTAAACCCGCCTCCCGCCTGCTTTCCCCTCCCTTCTCAGCGGATATCTGACACGTTTTAATAGGGCACCAAGCCTTTATTCCACAATTAATGCTAATACTAAAGATATATGCCCCTTGGCTGAAATGTGTGCTAAACCAGAAATGGATGGTTTAAAATTCTCCACGAGAGCACATTTTGATACAGGGATCTGGCAGGGGATAGAAGACCACTTTATCTGTGAAAGGGGGTAGAATGGGAGGCATGGAACAGGCTTCTGGGTGGGCTGAGTGGGAAAAGGGGGAATCGGAAGCTCCGAGGGAACGCCTCGCCTACTCCCTGTTTGACCCCTGGTCGGCTGACAGGCGCCAGGGAGGACGTGAACAAGTAACAGGAAGCCAACAGAAGAAAGGCGTCATTCCACGGAGAGCTTCCCTGAGCAACAGGCCGTGGTTTTTATATCTAAAAATACACATCACTTGGTCTTCGAAACTGTCCAGGTGACTAATAAGTAAACAGTTGAACACACATTTTTCTGGGTGCGCTTCTATTTTCTTTTAAAAAATATCTAATTTTGTAAATACCTCACAATTCAACAGTGCAAATACCCCATTTGCTTAGAATATATTTATTAAACATTCAGTTTTACAAAAGGAAAACTGATGGCTTTCTTTTAAGGAAACCAGGTGATTTTGCTGAATCTAAAATTCTAAAATGAATTCAATACCCTTATTCAAACTGTAAAATAATGCTGTCTATGGGGGAACAACACAGGTTATATCCTTTAGAAGTCTAAATGTGTGAAATGTTGAGACTTGCTTTATTTGTTATATTTCTTTTAGCGTTTTAAACTTTTTGGACATAGATTCCCTTTTTCTATCATCAGATTTTCCTTGTAGGCAGACTTATCAACTAGATAATTAAAAAGCCCCAAAATTTTAGCCTAGCCTGCAAAGCAAAATCTGGGTCAGCCAAACTCATCTCCCTTTACTTTCTGTCCAGCTGCTCTTCTGCCTCAGTCCTTTGCCTCAGGCCAGCTGGTGGACTCCTTGTGCTCACACAACCTGGTTCCAGGTCCCTTCATGTTCAAGAGCAAATCAACAACCCTCAAACCTTGAAGGACAAGGCACATTTTGCAAAGAATAAAGAACTTGTTAGTCAAATTTGTGAGATTAGTAAAACAAATATAAACCCCATTTCTTCTCTGGTTAAAAAAAGAACCTCCAGGGTGGGGAGGAGATAGAAGAGGGTAAGGGGAAGGATAAATGGTGATGGAAGGAGCCCTGACTTGGGGTGGTGAACACATAATACAATATACAGATGATGTATTATAGAATTGTACAGCTGAAACCTATATAATTTTATTAACCAATGTCACCCCAATAAATTCAATAAAAACTTAAAAAAATAGATTAAGTTAAATTAACCAAAATAAATAGGAACCTCCAAAGAAAATTTTTATATAATTTAATGTCAGCTAAAGTCATTTTTGAGATTTTTTTGCATATGTGAAATGTAAGAGTGTGTCCTCCATGAATATTTCTAGCAACTGTGGTACATGGAGAAAACTAATAAACACAATCCCATGATCATTTTGAAGTACATTTTTGGGGTCTATGATGACTCCATCAATTTCATTTTGAGAGTATTGATTTCCTAACTTTTTGGAGTTTTAATAATGCATTTTGTTTGCTTAATTTCATGATATTCTCAATTCTCCTTAAAATAAAAATTACACATTAAAATTTTCTAAAGAGCGTTTAAATTAGTTTCATTTTGAGATTGGCAGTGGTGGGTGTAACACTAACACATTAGGGTATCACAAACTCAAGATTGTGAGAGAGATTTTGCTTACCTTGAATTTATATCATTTCAGCTTCCTCTTTATTTTTCAGCAGTGGTGCTCAGACACCAGCACTCTTTCTTAGTGGATTGCTAAACCAGCATTTATTAAAAACTCTGCAAGAGTAGAAGGTGTAGGGTTCAGCTCTGTCTCCTACCTGCCCCTTATGATCTCCACCATGTTTCTGAATCTTTCTGTTATAATTTTCTTTAAAGCAGGGAAGTAATCCTTGTCTATCATAACTCCCACATACCTTTAAGGGGCAGATGTAGAAGCACAAGAAAACATAAGGGATTAGAGCATCACATATTTTTAGAGCTGGATGGTAGTTAGTGATCATTTGGTCCACCTTTCATTTTGCAGAAGAGAAAATGAGACCCAGAAAGAGAGATGAGTTAGGCACGATTACATGGTTCAGTAATGTGGCCTGTCCTTAAGAAATATACCCCAAATATACTAATACAGTGAATTATTTGAATTCAGCCTACTCATCACTTGATTGAATTGGCCTCCAATTATCATTCTTAAGGTTTAGCTTATTAAATTCGCACAAAGAAAATACAATTGCAAAAGTATTAATATATAAAATGAGTGTTCACTGCAAACTAAGCAACAGGGCTAATTGGATGTGCCATTCCTATTTGGAGCAAGGAACTACACGAGGCCCTGACAAGCCTGAGAAATATCACCAGCAGCATTTGCCTGCTCAACCTCAAGAGTTACAACATCAATATTAGTGAGAAAATACTTTTGGGTGTGAAATGGCAATTTGTGCATTACCTAGTGACTTATTTAACAGAACGATGTCCTTCTGAAAGACCCGCCCTTTAATTTTCGTTTGAGTCCCAGCACGACATATCCTTTAGTAAAGGTGTGTGTTGTTATCATTTCATTCCAGTAGATGGTGACACAAGAATCCATGCTGAAGGCTGCCTTGCCTCTCTTTGCCAGATTCATTGTCAGCAATGGACTGCAGACCAAGCACGGGGTGTTTGAGATCATACTGGAGACTGTGGACAGAGCCTTACCGGTGGTGACCAGGAACAAGGGGTTGAGACTGGCCCAAGGGGCCACAGGCCTGCTTTCTCCTGACTTCCTTCAGCTGACCGACCCTGACACTCCCGTGGAGAACCTCACCTTCCTTTTGGCCCAGCTCCCACAACACGGCCAGCTCTACCTGCGGGGGACAGTGCTGCTTCAACATAATTTCACTCAGCAGGACGTAGACAGCGGGAATGTGGCCTACAGGCACTCAGGAGGGGACTCCCGGACTGACTGCTTTACTTTTGTGGCCACAGATGGCACAAACCATGGCTTTGTTGTGGATGGGAGAGTGTGTCAAGAACCTGTTTCATTCACCATCCAGGCAAGTATGAGAAATACCCAGTTCCTTGCCAGAGAGGTGCAGAAAACAACTTCAAGGAAACGTATTTCCTTCTTTCCTCCCTTATTTCATTCAAATATGTACTGTGTGTCTACAGCATGCCTGGCACCAAGCGAGGAGCAGGCATATTAATATGAACAAAACAGATGTGGGCCCAGCGTACGGTAATGACTGACCTTGAGAGTCAGTGGTAGGTAATTCAGAAAGGGACCAAAAAAACAGGCTTTGGAGTCAGACACACCGAGGTTGGGGTTTCTGCTTTGCCATTTATTTGTTGTGTGACCTTGAGAATGTCCTTGAGCTCTTCTGATTCTACTTTTCCTTTGAAAAAATATGCCTTACAGGATTCTGGCGAGGATGCAATAAGATTAGGTGTTCAAGGCTCTAGCATGTTGCCTGAGACATATTAGATTCTCAATATCTTGTAACTACTGTTATAATATTTAATGACACTATTATGATGGTGCTTACTGATCCATGTCATCTACTGTCATTTTAATGGTTTCCAACTAAACATATGAAAACTTACAAGGCAGCATCAAAATTACGTGTGTAATAATGAGGAGGACAGTAATTGCAGCAGCTGCTTTTTTTACCATTAACTCTAGGTCAGACCCACTTCACAATATCTTATTTAATTCTCATAAAAATCCTCTGAGGTAGGTTTTGTTATCTCCATTTTATAGATGTTTAGAAGTTTAGAAGTTAAATAATTTTTTTAAATATACATAAAAACCTCAAGTCTTTCTGATCCCGAAGTTGGTATCCTTTCTACAGCCCTGTGCTGCTGCATTTATGTTGACTGTGATGATGATCCTAGGAGGGCATAATGTGTTTTTCTTTTCTTAGTCAAAACACATCAAGTGTGTCTGGCTCTCAGAGCCTTGAATCTGCTCTTGTTGGATGTAGTTCACCCGTTCTACACACTTCCATCCACAGCAAAAAAGATATCTCTGTCTCTTACTTCAGGATGCCTTCTGATTATGCAAAATAATCATAATTTTCCCTTGCTTTTTAGTCTCTGTGCTAGTCAGGATTCTCCGAGAAACAGAACCAATGAGATGTATACACACACACACACACACACACACACAGACTTATTTTCAGGAATTGGCTTACACAGTGGCAGGATCAGACATGTCCAAAATCTGCAGGACAGGCCAACAGGATGGAAATCCCAGCAGGCATTAATGTAGTCTTTAGTCCAAAGGCAGTTCTAAAGGCAGAATTTCTTCCTCTTCAAGGGACTTCAGTCTTTACTCTTAAGGCCTTCAACTGATTGGATGAGGCCCACCAACATTCTAGAGGGCAATCTGCCTTATTCAGAGTCTACTGATGTAAATGTAATTACATCTAAAAATATCTTCACAGCAACATCTCGACAGGTGTTTGACCAAACAACTGGGCATCACAGCTGAGCTCTGTTGTCACATAAAATGAACTATCGCCATCTCATTCTAAGATGGGACCTGAGTAAAAAGGTGGAGAGTCATGATGACATAGAGTGGATGCATTAAGGGTCTTTGGCACTAAGGAAGTCCAGAAAATGTAATAAAATTATGATGCACTGGGAGAAGACATAAGGTATTGATATCATTGATACAGTATATAAGAAGCACTTTGTACATAGTAAAATTATTGTTTTATTTCTTATTATATTTTCATTGTTATTAGTTTCAGCTCACTCTTTAGTCTATCAAAATCTTTTTATTGACTCCTGACTCCCCACACTAGGTAGAGAAATGACACTGTACTCTCCAACTGGAAGTACTTTTCTGGGTCTATTGGCAGCAAATTTATAGCAGTTGTCAGTTGTGGATGCAAACCTAGGAGTTTCTTGTACTCTGTAGCACAGAAGGAAAAGGGGGTAGAATGTGAAGAAAGTACTAGAACTTAGGTCTCTCCCAACACCAATAGTCAAAGAGCTTGGTTATCATGAGAGAGTCATCTCTTGGAAGTATCAGAATTTACTGTCAGGAAATTGTTGGATACATGTTAGAAAGGTTCTTTTTCATCAAAAGTAC